AATTTTTTTAATACTCACAATATGTATAAATTTTTTAAGAAAAAAGGCTCAATAAAATATTACTGAAAAACTTTTATTCAATGATTTCGATATTCACTTTGGTTGTTCTTATTATTTCGAACACGTCTGTATTTGGAGTTTTTGAAAACTTGCGACTGCGTAACCAGCACAATCCGATTTAAAATATTGAGAAAAAACGTAAGGTGAGTCGGGCAAAAATTCATTTTAAGGAAAATAAACAACTGTGCTCGAGCTACGTAATAATTACAGCAGTACACTTCTCCACTTAATTTAATTTAAATAAATTTCCTAAAATTACTACACAAAACCGGCCATTAACACTAGAGCCGCATGCGTTGAGTGCCGCCCTGCATATTGGCCGCTGTATTTTGCGCTGACGCCGCGCCAGCCGTTGCACTGCCTGCCACCGGCAACACATTTTGTTTGCGATAATTTGTGAAACTTTCCAAATACTGATTAATCGTATCGATTGGCTCGTACACTTCATTTTGTTTGGTATGTATCTGCTGTTGGCCCATAGTATTCATTATTTGTTGCGAAAAATATGCTGGATACTCTTTGGCGATTTGCATGCCGAGAAAACCTTGCAAAGTTTCACGTATCATTTCCCAACAATACGAAAGTACCACACATGGTCGGTATTCAATCTCAATGAGTATGCCCTTAAAGTTTTCCATCATTGTGACTGAACCCAACTTGATGAGAAAATCACCGTATTCGAAACGCGCACCTTTCGATTCAATCTTCGTTTGTTTTTTCGAAGTGTATACTGAAGTCATTTTCAGCATAAGCAAATCGAATAGGTTGTCTGCCACTAGTGGTATTTGTTTGCCGGCGCCATTGTCTAATATAGAAAATGTGGATGCAGGATATTCAGAATCGTGCAGCACATGTACAGTTTTGGCTGGACCGTGTTGTGGTGTGGAAATGTATGTTTCGCAATCGACCAGGAATTGGCCGGTGTGTATGGCGCCCAATGCCAAAAGGCGCTTGGTGAGGTAGTCAATGGCTTGAGCGCCCGTCTTACCTTCTGGTATCTGATATGGCAGCAATACAGTGACGCCCATTGCTTAGCTACAAACACAAAGTACATGTTAATTTGCAAAATACTAAAACATTTAATTTGAGTTAAAATATAAATTATATACCATAAATTTATTGAAACCGCTTTGTTTGGTACACAGAAACTTATCAATTGCTTTGTAAACTATCAGCTGTTAGAGTGGAACAAAATGGTATAGTAATGAAACACAGCATGTATGGATAATTCATTGTAGCAGTAACAACAACATAATTTTATTGAATGATTTACACTTATATTAATATTTTTACATTTAACAATTTTTTTAATGTAACTAGTTAAAATTTTGTATTTGAAAAATTATATTGTTAACATATAACTATTATATTTATTTTCCTTTGAATTTGAGACATCCATTCTGTTCCAATAACCACTTGCATTAACGAATTTTCGGCAGGTATTTGAATTTAACTACACACTAAATAACTTTGTGATAATTTCGAAATTTAAAAGCTGGTTCTACATAACCGGACAGTTCCTAATTTATATCCGGCTGTTTGCAAGTGCTGTTTCCTGAGCAAAAGTTCAAAAAACTTTGTGGGAATGTATTGTTTAAACATTTAGATTTTATATATAACCGTACCAAACCCAATATAATAAATATGTGCATAAAATATATTAGTTCTGATTGCTTAGTTCTGCCATAAAATCTGGTACAAAGCTTATAATACATATATAAGTGGTCGTCTTGTTGTTGTTGTTGTTGTTGTTGTAACGGCAGAATTCGAGTGGTCGTCTTCGTGTGGTTCAATCCATTATGCCATAAAAACTATTCGCGAACGCATTCTATTTTGGCAATCCTATAAGAAAACAGGAAATTATGTAAAACAAAATGAATAGAACGAACAGACCAACTTGCTTACAAATTTTTTTATGCGTAGTTTCATTTCCAAAATGGTCTGAACTTGTAACAGAACTTATGGCAGTAGTTGCTTAAAAACGCAAATGTCTCACAAAAGAATAAGTTCTCTTAAATAATCCATAAACTCAGTTATTTTTTTTAATATTTATTGTATTAAATACACACATAGATACATACATAAATATGTATTATTAAATTTGGAACAAATACGTACTCATAAGATGTGTGGATACTGATTTCTGCTGTAATTTCTTATTGTACTCATGCATTAGTGAGTGCTTAAGAAATAACCACAAAAACCAAAATCCGTTAATGGCATCAATACAAATCCTTGAGTTTTGTAACACATCTACGCATATATGTAAAAATTCTGAAAGAAATCTAATTTTGAGTGTCCACACATTTGCTATCACTGCTTCTGTACACTACTTGCTGTCTTTTAGATCGGTAGGCGTCTTCTTATTAAATATCTGTGGAGTCTTGAAGCCACGGAAACTTTTACGCAGCGAGTTGGTGACACGCTTCTTGTAGCTCGTACTAGTACTGGTCACTGAAATTTTATCATCCGGCACAAATCTGCGATCAAGTCTTTGCAAACTGCTCGCCTCATCGGTTGAATTGCTTTCATTGGAATTGTTTTTCAAAAATTTTCTATTGAAATGTAATTGTGGTGTGCCCCATTTCTTAGCTATAAAAGCTTCGAATTCCGGATCGCTTTCGGAGCCGCTTTCATTACTGGAAAATTTTCCTTTGTAAATGCTTTTAACTTTTACCCGCTCACCTTCACTTTCACTCACGCCTTCAGCCGATTGTGCGCCACCGCTATGCGGTGTGTCGGCAGTACCGTTATCCGCAAACGGTATGTCATCCAATTTACGTGTAACAATCACCTCCGCTGGCACGCCTTTTAGATTAACACCCTCGATTTGTGTCTGCTGGAAATCGGTTGGATGTATACCGGTGTGGGGACTGTTGCGGAGCGAATTCCGCACTTTACGTGGCGTCTTTATCTCCACAATACGGACGCGGTAATGCAGTAGCTGAACAGAAAAACAATTTTAATCAAAAAGACTAAAAAAAAATATATAATTTTTTCAAGGTGCTTACCCGATCCTCATCGATGAACTTCGCGAGATCCGTTAGCGACATGCTAATACATGTGCCCTCCGCCAATATGTCCTTATCGTACTCACTATGCACCGGATACTTCTGCGTTATGGCTATGGCTTCATTCTCCTGATGCACAATTGT